TAATGTCCCTGACTATTACTTATATTGGGAGTTCCTGCTCTCCAATGTCCTGCCGTGGAAGGAACTGCATGGCCCCTGCTTCTGGTGTCTCTTGGTCATAATGATTTGTGACTTGAATATCTAAGGACTGATTTATGGAAGGAGTGGGGATCCCCGCTGTGGCCAGACAATGCAATCCTTATTCTCTTGACTATGTCGTGGGCTTTGGGATGCAGGTAAATGGCCCGGATGTAGGCAAGTCACAGGACCTACGAGGGAATCCTACTTCTGCGAGGGAATCACTACGTGCTCTGGAAAGGCAATAAGCTGTGTAAACAGGGGATTGGAGCAGAGTTTAAACCTGGACTGAGCAAACGGATTTCTGACCTACGAGGAGGTTTTGCAGGCAGAGAGAGCTAGGCTGCAAGCTAGGGTCTCCAATTAAAATAATAATGAGTAAAAAAAAAACACTTTATTTGAAACATTTCTATGCCACCCAGTTGTGCCCCAGCACAAACTCAATTACTGATAGTTTATCATCAACTCTGCTCTAGAGTTGCCTTCCTTTGTATCTCATGCAGCATTTAATGGACAGGGTTATATTTTGTGTATAATTTTATTCCCCAGAGATCATGGGATTCTTATTCAGCAGCGCTAATAGCACTGTGCACAATAACCACTTGAGGGACAAGTGTCTCTGCTTGTTCTGGAGTCTCATCCTGATCCATTAGCAGTCACCCCTAGTATTGGAGCCTCTGAAACCTGGAGTAGAATGTACTGGAGGCAGCTCACCAACAGCCCTCCCGCTGTGTCGGGGGCTCTGGATTTTGTGGAACTTCCTCGGTGGGTTGCCCTTGCAGGGTTTGGGATTATGATTCACGTGGCAAGAGAATGTTTGGGACTATGTCACCATCTGGTTTTGGAGCGATCTTTATTTTTTTCTGTTAAGGGCGAGAGCCAATTACTGGAATTATGGCAATAAGAGGTTTGGTGGATACTCATGCCCTGAGTTTGGGAGGCAGAATTGGACAGTCTCCTGCAGTCATCAAAGGAGCTTCCTGCTTCCTGCCATACACAAAAGCTTTCTGCTGACATCATCATCATATCCACAATGTGGGAAGGCAGTCAGCACCATGTGCTGTGTAGTTGCTGCTTGTAAAGTTACCCCGAGGCAGTAGCAGCCACCTACATGGGGAAACTAGCCAGCCAGCCATGTGGCATGGCAGGTCTTGCCATGACCCAAGTCCCTCTTCTTTGCTCAGAGAGGAGCACTTAAAAAAACAAAAAAAAACAAAGGCGAGACACACCTGGCTCTGTGGCCAGATGTTGCATATTGGCTGCTCAACCAATTAGCAGCTTGCAACAAAATAAAATGCCATTGCAGGTGATTGTGGGCCCTTCCAGAATGACAGTGAATGTGGCTTGGCTGTAGAAAGAAAATTAAGCAGTCTTCTGGTGCTGGACTGGCATGGCCTCACAGACGCACAACAATCTGCTAATTAAAATGGAGGGACAATGAAAATAGCACAGTGCAGCCAGCAGGATGTTTTTGTCTTTGTTCTTAGTCCTTTTGCTTTTACGTTTCCATGGACTTAGGGAGGCTGATGCAACCCTTGTGGAAGAAGAACAGCAAACATGAAACAAGTGGGTTTCTGTCGCAGCCTCCAGCTCATTCCGAGAGCGAATTGAGACACCAGCCATGTGACTGGGAGAAAAAAGGCCACCGCCGAACATCTGATGCACTGTTTAAAACAAACAGCAACAAGAAAGGCATGCAGCGTTTTACACTGCGCATCCTTGTTCTCCTCCTCTCAGTATCCCGAGGGAAGGTTGTGGCTGATTTATACATGAGCAAGTAAAGTCGCCTCCCTGGGTTACTTTTTACACTTCTGAAATGGTTCCTGTTTTGTCTTTGAAATCCTGGCCTGGGGGACTCAGGGGCAAATCCCCCATGATGCCTTGGGCAGGTCAGAGAGGGACTGTGGCTCAAGGGCAGAGCGCATGCGTGCCGTTTAGGGAGGATCAGCGATCCGCTGATGCCTGAGACGTGGGAGAACCTTGTCCAGGTGTGAGGTGGACCAATGATTTTCCCTCATATTCGTGGTGTTGTAGTGGAGACACAGTGTCAAATAGCAGTTTGATTAGCAGAGGTGGGGACCTCAAAGGGCTTTGGCCTCCCATAAACTGTGGCCACAATCCTCGTAGTAGTAGGAGAAGGGGAATGGATTTCCCGGTATTGTGAGCATAGCCTTGATCTCAGGGAACATATTTGGGGTGGCTTGGTCCTGATTATGCAGTGAAGACCCATTACCATGACATAGAAACAGAACGAGTTGGAAGGGGTCTCTTGGCACATCTAGTCTGACCCCTGGCTTCAGCCAGCTCTGCTCACGACATGCCTACCTTGTGTATAGCAAAGGACCTTTCATCTGGTGGAGATGAAAGCTGTTAGAATTGGTGTGTTGACATGGACCAGCACTGCTGCCTACTTTTTGGATTCTTGGTAGTGTGATGTGGTGGCCATGGCTTTAGGACTGTCATGGTGAGAACTTGCCCTTCCCAATTTACACCATTGGGTTTAAGACCAATTCCAGTGTAACGGAAGGGTCATTGCTCAAGGGATGAGAAAATGCTCTGCATGAGAAGGTCTGAAGTTTAGTTTCCAGCATCTCCAGTTGGAAAGATCAGGGTAATAGATTTGGGGGAAAGTGCCTGAGCTGAACCTTCTGAAGGTTCTGAAGTTGAACCTTCCCATTTGAGCAGACAGTGCTGGACAAAGATCGACCTAGTCCATCATGGCAGAATAGCTCATGTGTGTTTCTTGGGCTTCTCACATCAGGCTACCTGATGTCTGTGTCATCCACCCCATTTCCCTTACCTTTCTTCCCATCCCTCCCTCCTCCTCTACTCTGTGTGCATGGGATCCTTCATGGCGGTGAGGGTCAGCTCCAGGTTTTTGAGGGCCGTTGGGCCAGGGAGCAAAATGGAGGTGGCATCTACCAGTCTTCCTCTCACCATGACGGTTACCTGGGCCAGAATGAGAAGCGGAGTAAAGAGGAGAAGCAATTCCAGGAGGCTCTTCTTGGTGGACACTCAGCAGGTGTCCAGCCATGGCTATTCTTGATTCCAGTCCAGGTCACAATAGCAGCATACGTTGGAGAGTATAGTGTTGGGGGTGGACCTCCTAGGCAGTGTAGTCTAACCTGCTCTGTTTGGTGCAGGAAACCAAGAGTGAGACCATCCCCTGAAGTTGGGCATGCAATGCTTCTTGAAGTTTTCAAGCAAGGAAGAACACACTGGACTCCTAGATAATTGGTTCCATTGTGCAAATTGCTTTCATCGGTGAAAGGTTTCTCCTAATAATTGACCATAATCTACTCCCTGTAATTTAAAATCTCGTCTTTGCCCTCTGGGGCAGCAGAGAACATGTTTTCAGCCTCTTTTATGTGACAGCCCTCCAAGAACTTGAAGAGTGCTGATGGCACATCACCATGCAGGCAGGCAGTGACAAGAGAAAATTATGGTTCTTTGCATTTTATTATTCTCCCCGGCTATATTATTTTGCCCTCCAATGGCTCCTGTGGTGGGTATATTAGTGGAATCACGGAAATGAATATACACCTGAATGCAAAATGAAAATGGCATTGTGCTTTAGCTTTTGAGAGGTCACAGGTGCTCGCCAGAGCAGTACCACCTTTCTTGACTCGATGGCCTTCATGGCCCCTCCAGCTCTACTATTCTGTGGCTCCTCGTGATGCTGCTGCCAAGGAGATGCTCAAATTTAAAGCTCACTGGCTATTGGTAACAAAGCGAATTTGAGATCAATCAGTCCAGTGTGCCAAGAGGCAGGGTACTTTCAATAGCTCCTTCGTCTTTATGGACATCCCTTTCATGGGATGTATGTTTGACCTACTCTTGAGCTTAAAGGGTTTTTTTTCCTTTTTAATGGGCCTGACAGTCTGCTTTTAATTAATGACATCGAGCTGTTGATCTGCCATTGCTCATCTGTTTATGCTTGTTTTCCTCAGGATTATTCTGCATTTGTTTTGTTTTATATTATATCGCCTATTCGATTGTAAAGATTATCTGTTTATTAATTTACTTGCTCATCATATTATTTCTGTGAACCTTCTTTTGACCCTTTAAGAACTAACACCTCTAAAAAAATAAATAAGCAACATTTCAAGATGATTGTCAGCAAAATGGGGGGAAGACCTCTTTGGTAACAGTGTTTCCTATGGGTCGAAGCTGAACAAAACAAAGAGAAGACTATGGAACTTGTTGTTTGTTAAAGTAAACTTGTAAATTAGTCCACACAGGTCACTGGCCTATGGAAAAAGCTTTCCATGCCAGTGGTGGCCATTCTTTCATTGCCAGCATGAAAACTTGGACTTCTATCTTCTTCAGCTATTTTGTTTTTAATGAGCTCTGCCAAGCATAGAAGATGAGTTATTTTATTTATATCCCACCTCTTCTTCTTTCAAGGATTTCAAAGTGGCTTACATAATTCTCCTCCCCCTCTCTATCCTATCCTCCCAGCAACATTGACCCTGTGAGGTCGGCTGGGCTGAGAGCTTGTGGCTAGCCCAGAGACGCTGCGCTACCCCCATGGCCAAGTCGGGACAAGACCTCAGGTCTCCTGTGTCAGTGCACCACTTTCTCCCCATGGCTCCCAGTCCCCAGGTTTCCATCTTGACTCTAGAGACTTTTATTCCTCCATGGCTGGAGTACACAGGCTGTTGCTAGCCGGATATTTTGGGCTACAACCCCATATCCTCTGACTGTGGTCACAGGGGCTTCCCAGAGTATCTGGAAGGCACCAGCTTGCCCCTCGTTGCCCTGTGGCTAGCACAGACACAAAGCAGACCAGCAGATTGGAGGAACAGAGCAATCCATTCCTTTCCGTCCACCGTTTGTTTGCTTGTCTATCTGAAACACTCCTCACCCGTGATTACCTGCAGAATTGTTCAGTGTAAGACTATATCAAATGGTTTCTTTTCTTCTTGCTTCTCCTCTTGCAGAAGGACATGTTATTGAAACCTCAGGAGAGAAAGGAAAAATGGGAGAGACAACCAGGAAAGAAGCCTCGAGAATCTGATCGCTGCGTGTCGGCCGAGCCCGGTGAAAATGGCCATAACAATGATGCAGGGAGCTCGGGGAGAGAGACGGATCGGGGCAAGGAGCGAGTGAAGAAGAAAGTCCCCTTGAAAGTCCACAAACAGGTAGGACAGAGCGCTTATCTTCTACCTTGTGCTGTGGAGTGTCTCTCTGGGGAGCTGCTTTGCTTTGATTGGCGTTTGATGAGAGTGAGGACTAATGCAGATTACTCCTTTTGTTGTGGGCAGATTCTGGAAAGAGGTGGTTGGAAGTTCCAACTTGTGCTCATTTTCAGAAGAGCATTTTTAAGAGAAATGCTTGCTTTGGAGAAGAAAGAGATGCAGAAGGGGAGCAATGTTGGCGCCTACCATTTTCTCTTTCTGGCAGTTTCCGTATTTCACAGGTGTATTTTCATATGTTCCAAACTCCCGTAGAGGTTATTGTTGAAGCTTTCTCTGTTACGATACTGCTGAAGCTTGTGGCAGAGGTATGGCTTTCGAACTTGCAATCTCTGTGATTACTGTCTGTGGGTAAGGCAGGCTGTAGGTAGTTGCCAAGGCAACAGAGAGGGTTCAAATCATAGGAGGGAAATTTGGAGGACGGAAAGCACGGAAAAGGGTTGGGAACTTGTAGGAACTACTAATGTTGACACATCTGCCTTGGTTCCAGATGCATTTCAGGCCCAATTCAAAGCGCTGCTGTTTGGAGCCCTTCATAGCTTGGGAATGGGTGCCTGATGGATCTCTTGACTTGATATTAAGATGGAACACCACGCGTGCAATGCATTCCCCCCGGTGCCTACCCTTTCTGTTTTTCTGCTGCCAGGTGGTTTTGTTCTGCTTTAACATCCAGGCATTTTAAGCATCTGCTTTGACTCCCATGTCTGGTGAAATGCTCCTCTCTCATCCACTTTATGCAAATGTTCTTTATTCTGCTAACGATGTAATGGCATTACATTCTTCCATGTAAGGCACCTTGGGAAAGTTTGTTTTTGGCAGTGGGGGGCAGGTGAGTGGACCATGTTTCCCCCCTTCATAGATGTTTACTTTGCAAATATAGAAATCCCATGAAAGAAGCGCCAGTGCTAACCTTGTCTTGGACTCCATCGACAGGGGCCTCTAAACTTTCGTAAAGCAAAGCTGCATTTCGATGCACCGTGAGGGAGTTAAGCAACTCCTGGAGAAATAAATGACTCATTTTGTTCCTTGTCCAGTGTGGGATAAAATTTTGGACTCCTGCGGGCTGTGACTTGACTTGATCGCTGGGCGCTTCGGCAGCTGAGAAAGGGAAGGTGTGAACGCCCTGTGTTGGTGTGTCGAGGGGTGGGCACAGGATTGATAAACGTGGCCTTGGTGTACTTTCCCTGACCTGACTTATCCTGCGTGGTGAATTTAGAGCTACAAAGAGGAGAAGGCGAGCAGCATAAAGATTTGGGCCATTCCTCTCCCGCCCAGCCTGCCTCCAGCCGTTCCCTCCACATGCACTCAAAACTCGACAATGCATTTAACTAACTCCGGCATCGGCGGCAGTCTGGCCTGCCACTCATGCGCAGCGGGGCTGCCCCACAGCCTTTTGCTTGAGCTAACATGTTTGTTCAAAGCTAAGGAGGTGAAGAGGGAATGGCACGGGGGGGCGTGGGGGTGGCGGGCCATTTATCACTTTCAGCTGCTCATCTGGGACAACTGTGGAGCAACTTGGTGCTCGGCCATCAGCCCGATCGGTCCATGACTGAAGCGGCGTTTGTGCGGCTTCCTCATCTGCAGCTCCTGCTAAGGAAGCCATGCCCAGAACAGCCACCCGGAATTCCCAGTCCTCTTCACGGGCTCTGACATGCGGCGCACTGTTTTGGCAAATAGTGCTGGGAGGAGAAACACTGCAAAGCTTTCCCAGGGGTGAAGCTCAGCCTCGCTGCTCACAAGAGCAGAGCATTTCTCTTTCTTGCTGTGCACTTTTCCTTCCTACTTACTGCAAACAGCCACAGTGCTCTCTCTCGCTTTGGTTTGACGAGTTGTATTACATCTGTAGGCCACCCCACAGCTCCTAGGGCCCTCTGGGTGGCTTACAACAAAGCAAGCTACAAAATAAATGTAAACTTTTGATTATATCATTGCAATAGCAAAGGACAAAATCGGCATGAATGCAGTAATATAGTAACAGATTCAAGATCAAATACAATATGAGCAACATATCAGTACAAAATCAACAAGGTTACTTAATACAACGCTGTGATACTGATTGTGAGCCGCCTATAGATGCTAAGGCATAACAGGCAGCATACAAATGTTTTAAATAAATGGATAAATGTCCCACACTGGGCGGTAGAGTGGCCTTTTCCACGTTCGGCTGGAAGGTCCACACTTTGGCATCAGGTTGGCAGAGCTGCAGCTCCCACTGCCTCCAACCATGAGAACAGTTTTGATTCTGAGCAAGAGCGAACTCTCCTGCTTGCAAATACAGCATTCCTGTGCTGGCAAATCCACACTGCAAAGGAGCAAATTATGAGAATTCGGCCCCATTACTTCAGCCCCTTTCCTGCATTCATTGTCAAGTGAGATTCTTAGGTAGCCCTCTAGAAACGCAAAACGGAAGCAGGATACACACCTGTATGGAGAGGCACATTTGGTGCAGAACCAAAATTGTCCTGTGCTTCCTGTCAGCTTCAGCGTTTAAAGGGTTTGCAGGCATCCGGTGTGGACAGAAGGCATTTTACCTGCTCATGGGAAGCACGAGTCACATGGGAACTCACTAGAGGGCCGGTGAGGACCGGTGTTTCTCACTAGCCCAGTTTTGTCTAAGTAGCTTCTCACCTCATGCCACTGACTACTAATAAATATCCTGGAACACAGGAAAGACAAGCCCAAATTGCTTATTCTCCTTCTCCAGCATAGTTTACTCCAAGATTTGAGGGTCACCTCCCTGAATAGTCCGACTCTCTCCATCCTGTTTCAGCATGTGGCCATTTTGAGAAGCCTGCAACCTGTATAAGCTTTGCAAAAGGACAGGTATTCTGCACAATGTCTTCTGGGCTGTGTTTATGGTTTTGTATAATATATTCCTCTCCTCATGGTTTCTTGCAACTTTCAAATTCCTTGCACTTGAAAACATGTCTTTCTCAGTCACAAGGCCCAGAAAACATCAATTTTCAAAATGAAAACTGAGATGATCCGTAAGTTGAATTCTGTACCCAGTACTATAGTTTGCATTTGAATTGCAATATAATTTGGGACATACTGTGCTTCTCCCCCTGTTGCCCCATCCCAATGTTACAAGCAGTGTTTCAAACAACTGCAAAGAAGCTAGATTATAGGTCCCAGTCATCTCTGCATGCGCACGTGCACACACACACACACACACACACACTCAGGTGCCCGTACACAATGTCTTAAGTGCCATAGGAAAATCCCACTGTTGAATGCAAGAGTCTGTTCTGATACTCTGCCGAGCAGAGTTAATGAATAATGCAAATGCTTTTGCTCACATCAGATCAGAGGCATCCTGACTACAACCTCTTATTACAAGGAATACTTATTAACTGTTTAACTAGCAGGGACTCTTTGTCTGCTTTAATTATCCAAAGGAGGGAGGTGTGCGAGAGAAGGTTCTCTTAGATTGGCCTTAAGGTTTATAGTTATACTAGTTAAAAACAAAAAATCAATCAGACGGTAAAGGCACGTTCTGTTCAGTGCACCCCAGTTCTTCCTCGGAGGGACTTGCATGGAGAACAAGAACATTTAGCTTGGTGCAGCTGGCAACCACACAGAGCCATCCCTGTCATTAGACAAAGGGAGGAAGCTGCCTTGCCACAGTAAACTTCAGGGGCAATAAAAAGGCAGCAGATTGAATTGTTTACTTAGTGTGTATTTACTCTGTGTGATATGCACCATTCGGGTTCAACAGTCTTGGAGCAAGCCGCAACTGCTTGGAAGTAAACCTCTTGACTGAGGTGGTTGTGAAGTGGGTTTCTTCAGCTGCCTAACTAGGCTGCTGCAAATCGAGAAGGGTCAATGTGTAGCAGTTTTTTCTAAAAACGGCGGCTCCGGATGTGGCACATGGAGAAGCTGTTGCTTAAATTGGACTCTGGGTAAATAAGTGGGAGCTTTTACAATGTGAGAATCTCCTGTTCTGGGGAAGCCATTCCAACTGCTCACCTTCCCATTATTCCACTCAGTATTCCAACTGAGTATTCTCAGTTTTCATTGGAGGATGGGGTTGCCCCCTTGAATTTTAGGTGTTTGGATTCTACAGCCATTGTACATTTCGTAGGAATGTGTTGATTTTATCAAATATAGTCTGGAAAGCTAGTTGCTGTTCCTGTTTATATTGGACTGGAAAAAAGTGGGGAAAATTTCCAAACATTGAGAAAGATGGGGCGATGGAATACATTGCCCAGGGAAGCAGTAAAGTCTTCCTTCTAGGAAGGAAGCTGGGTGTTTTATGAACCAAATGTGCATTTTTTGATATGGCTCAGGCTCAAGATAAACAGATTTGGTGTGAACTTGGTTTGTTCATTTGTTTGAGAGTAAGTAGTTGCTTGGAAGGGTTTACATATCTACAAGCCAGTGCTTAAGTTATGGGGGATGAGAGCTATGGAGAGTCTATTCCCCTTAGCTAGAGTTTTAAAAGACTCTGGGCCATGTTCACACATTTTCCAAATCCATGTACAAGCCACCCTGGGAAAATGTGGATCCACACAACCCACAGTGGGTTGTCACGTCATACAAACTCTGCTGGGGTTATGCTATCTTCTGTGGTTTCTACATTAATTTCAGCAGCACCCTTTATAGCAGAATCTCCCTGCATGAGGAAAACTAGCTCATCAAGAAATGGCCTTAAAAGCCGCCCCGGGTATGTTAAGCCTTCGGTGTACATAGATACTTGATACATCCTGGGTTTGCATGCTCGCCGGACTCTTAAGCAATCAGTTCCTTTCAACTGAAAACACCTTGTCTTATTTGTTTGCGAAGAGCTTAAACATTATTCCCAGGGAGGTACCCATTTTGGGGTTGAGTGGGGGAAGATGGATTCTCTGTTGTTAAGCCCCAAGCTCAGCCTGAAAGCTGCTGCTACAGGCTCCGAAGTCGCAGATGGCCCTCTCCTGTTCTCGGCTGGTAATCTGCAAGCGTGG